GTGTGTGTGTATGAGACAGAGACCGGAAGCAGCTGTGGGACATTAATAATGCATGAGGGGCCAGCCTGTGGCATGGTGGTTGAGGCAGCTGGATTCGACATGGCCAACTGTGCGGTTCGAGTCCCAGACCCGACGGGCTGAGAAATACACTGGGCACGGGCACGTCCATGCCCAAAGTCCCGACAGGAGGACAGGGTGGAAGAGGAGGGATTGGGACGTGCCCGTGCCCATGAGGGATGCTCTCGCTCCAGTCTGAGGGCTTGTTATGACGTGTGCCAGTCCCAAACAGCACACCCGGAAGGCGGGCAGAGAAAGACAGGAGTTTACTACTTACCTAAGCGGACAGGTGCCCACGGACGGCCTGTGGCCAGTGGTCCCTGCGTCGGTTCAGAACAGAGCATTCACAGACCAATTAAAGATCGAGGCCGGTTCCCTGTCGCCGAGTCAGGGTCCCGCTTGGACATACATGGCTCGAAGGTCACAATAAAAGTCATCTTGTTTGTGAGCACAGTCAGGCCCCATGTCTGGGGTTTGTGTCCCTCAGCTAGTTAATGTGGGAGGGGCGTGCAGACCTTGGGATTGGCCGTGGGCCAGTTCCAGGAGGTGAAGGTCACCGTCAGAGATGTTAGGAGTCCCAGCTGTGGCCCTGCCGCTGGCCTCGAGAACAGGACAGTGAGGGAGGGGATTTTCTTTCTGTCCTGCTCGCTCCTGGAAGACATCACGTTTAAAAAGAAGTGAAATACTGGGACCAGCAGTTGGTGTCATGGCTATGTTGTTGGACTCCCACATAGTCAACTGCGGTTCGAGTCCCGGACCTGGTGGCTTACACTCATGCCAGGCGCGCGTGTGTGCGTGCCGAAGATCCTGAGAGGAGAATGGAGGAGAAGGGATTGCGAGGGGATGATTTCTCGCTTTCTGTCTCCCTGTTTGTCTGTCTGGTGAGTGCACGCGCCCTATAGCAAAAACCTCTCCAAAAAAAAAAAAAGAAGGGAAATGTTGGGGGGATGGTAGGTGTGGCTAAGGAGATAGCATTCTCTCTCAAGTGTCATTTGAGGGACCAGCAGGTGGCATAGTGGTTAAGGCGCTCGCTGGACTCCTATGTGGTCCACCGCAGTTCAAGTCCCGGACCCAGCATCTTGAAAGTCACGCCTGGCGCGTGTGCGTGCGTGTGTGCTCAAAATCCCAAGAGAAGAATGGAGAAGGGATTGTGGCAAGACCATGTCCCTGGGGGGAGGTTATTTCTCACTGTCTCTCTGGTGAGCACACACACCCTATAGCAAAAATCTCTCCAAAAAAATAAAGTGAAATGTCATTTGAGCCAGATCCCTCTGAGGTGGGTGGAGTGACCCCAGCTTACAGACCAGGAAACCCAGACCAGAGAGGCAGTGAAGCTAGCCCAGGGTCACACAGCATGGAGGTCACTGGGATGGGATGGGAACACAGGGTGACCAGGTGCAAGGGTCCATTTGGGCTGCAGCGAAGAGACAGTAGTCCCCAGGAGGGCCCTGGTGACCTACAGAATGCAGGGAAGAACAGGGAGGAGTATGGCCGAGGCTTGAAAGTTGCTCCCACTAAGAGGGCAGACTGAGGGCTGCAGGTGACATAGTGGTTAAGGGAACTGGACTCATAGCCGACTGTGGTTCGAGTCCCGGATCTGGCAGCTTGCATTCTCTCTCTCTCTCTGTGTACCTCTCTAGTCAAATTTAAATAAATAAATAAATAAATAAATAAATAATAAAATAATTCTTTAACAATAAAACAGGGCAGTCTGTTCCAGGCGGGGAGGTGGTGTCGGAAGGCTCAGAGAGTGCTGCTGCTATGTCCCAGGACAGACACCCTCGGGCCAGGCCTTTCCTTACCAAGCCCCTGGGTGATTTCTGAGGGACTCTCTTAGGGGGCTCTGTAGGCTGAGGGTGGGCACAGCTGTGGTTTGTACTCGGCTGTCCAGGGGGTTACATCGCTGGACTCACATGTAGTCGATGGCGGTTCGAGTCCCGGACCCAGTGGCTTAAAACTCAACGCAAGGTGTGTGTTTGTGTGTGTGTGTATCCAAAACCCCAAGCAGAGAAGGGATTGCGATGTGGCATCCCGGGGGTGTGTGTGTGTGTGATTTCTCGCTTTCTGTCTCTCTGTACTCCGCAGTTCAGTGGTTTCTGGAAGTATAATCCAATGGGTCCCAGGGCGCCTGGTGCCTCCCAGCCCGTCCTGAGCCTCTTCCTGGGGCCCCTCCTGCAAGGCCACCTTCTCCTGTGTGTTCCGGAGCCCGGGGTGTCACACTCGGCTGGGCTCTTCTGAGGCTCTGATTGTTCGTTGTCTGCGCTGGACGCTGGTGGCGTCTGGGGTGTCATCATTGTCCTCATGGTGCCTGGTGCCTCGGCCACACCCACACGCAGTCATAGGACGGCTCACGCGAACATCAGTGGTTCAGAGCCTGGCCCTGGCTTCAGCGTTGCTGGAAGCTTCAGCCTCAGAGTGAGCTGAGAGGTGGGGGCGGGGGGTTCTGGGGGTGTGCTGGTGGTCGGGGGACGCAGACCCTGTGGTTGCAGTCCCTGTTTCTGCCACTCCCAGATGTTTGTGACCTTGGGCAGGCGCCCAGCCTCTGGGCCTCGGGCGTGTCTAAATAAGCCAGCATCGGACCTGGTCTGATGGGTAATCCCTGGAAAGTTCTCAGCACTTTGCTTGGCGACCAGTGGGTGCTCAGCAATTTCAGATACTCCAGTAAAAGAGAAGGGGTGACCAGGAGGTGGCATAATGGGTATGTCACTCAACTTCCACATAGTCGACCCTGGTTCGAGTCCCGGACCTGGAGGCTTAAAACACACCAGGTGCGTGTGCATGCGCGCCCAAGGTCCTGAGAGGAGAATGGAGAAGGGATTGCGGTGTGGCCATCCTCCCTAGAGGGTGATTCCTCGCTTTCTGTCTCTCTGGTGAATGCACATGCCCTATAGCAAAAACACCTTGTTGGCCCACCATGGTTCAAATCCCAGCCCCGCTGACTTGAAAAACACACTCGGCATGTGGGCCCCATATCAGACAGGATGAAGAAAGGGAAAAAGCCTCTCCAAAAAAAAAAAAAAGGAACCAGCAGTTATCCCAGCCCCGCTGACTTGAAAAACACACTCGGCATGTGGGCCCCATATCAGACAGGATGAAGAAAGGGAAAAAGCCTCTCCAAAAAAAAAAAAAGGAACCAGCAGTTAGCGTAATGGCTATGTTGCTAAACTGCTAGCCCCGAGCTGCCCTTTCCTGTCAGAATCTCCTAGAATTGACCTGCATTTGTGACCTTTCTCTGAGAGTTAATGTCGATACAGTAAATCGCACAAATCTTTTCAAGAATTATTTATTTGGGACCAGCAGTTGGTGTCACTGGACTCCCATGTAGTTGACTGTGGTTCACATGCCGGGCGCGTGTGCGTGCCCCAGAGGGGATGGTCACGCTGCAATCCCTTCTCCTCCATTCTCCTCTCGGGATCTTGGGCACACACGCACACGCGCCCGGCGTGAGTTTTAAGCCACCGGGTCCGGGACACGAACCACAGTCGACTACATGGGAGTCCAGCGACATAGCCATTACGCTAACTGCTGGTTCCCTTACTTTCTGACTCTGTCTTTCTCTCTTTCTGGTGAGCACACATGCCCTATAACAAAAACCTCTCCAAAAAAATAAAAAAGGTTTATTTTACTTTGTTATTATTATTATTATTTTAAAAACTTGCTATAGGCCATGCTTGCTCACGAGAGAGAAAGCAAGCCACCAGACCAGGTCCGGTACCCGAACCATGGTCAGCCACGTGGGAGTCCAACACATTAACCACCACACCACCTGCTGGTCCCCAATCCCACAAATCTTAAGTGGAGTTCATGTCAGAAAGTTCAGGGTGGCCCCATCCCCTCGTGGCTAAGGGAGCCAGCTCACACGTGGCTAACCATGGTTCGAATCCTGGCCCTGGCAGCATGTGTGTGCATGCCCCAAATCCCATCAGAGCGCAGAGATGGAGAAGGGATCGCAGCTCGATTATGACCCACTGGAGGCTGCTTTTATCTTTGTCTCTCTGTCTCTCTGGAGAGTCATGCACCCTCTGTCAAAAAGAAAAAAAAAAGCCTCCAACTTCCTCCACGCCCTTGCAGGCAGTTCCCCCAAAGACAGCGCCGCTCTGATTTCTATCGCCAGGGACGAGTTTTGCTGGTTCCGGTCCACCCTGTGACTCGGCAAGAAAAACCAGGGCATACGTGCACAGGGGGCGTGTCTGAGAAGCACATGTCCGAGAGCTTGGTTTGTCATGGCCCCAGGACCGGCCCTGGACCCATCGTCCTGTGTCTCGCACCAATTTTGGGCAGGCCAGACATTCTTCCAGGCGCAAACCCCGTTTAAGTTCCCTAAACCCAGGTCCAGCCCCGACCTAGTGGTTGAGGGAGCCCGAGCCCGGGATCCCATGTGGCCGACCGCAGTTCCGGTGTGGCCCCAGCGACTTGAGCAGTGTCGGTGTTTCTGCTCGCCCAGGATCAGGATCGGAGGGAATGATGAGTGGGGAGTGGGGATGGCAGTGGGGTGCTCCCTGCCGAGGGGTGCTTTGTCCCTCTCCCTCCCTCCGTCGCATACTGGCAAGTACACAGCTCTCTGGCAGTTAGAAAAAAAGAAAAAGAAAAAGAAAAGCCCCTGAGCCTAGATCATCTCTCCCTTTCATGTGGAGCAGCAGTTACTTTCTTGACTTTAATGTGCTCCACACGGGACCAGCAGTTAGCGTAATGGCTATGTCACCGGAACCCCGTGTAGGCGACCGCGGTTCGAGTCCCGGACCCAGTGGCTTAAACTCACGCTGGGCGCATGTGTGCATGCCCAAGATCCCGAGAGGAGAATGGAGGAGAAGGGATTGTGGCGTGGCCGTCCCCCCTGGGGGGTGATTTCTCGCTTTCTGTCTCTCTGTCTGTCTCTATCCTTCCGGTGAGTGCACGCGCCCTATAGCAAAATCCTCTCCAAAAAAAAAAAAAGTACTCCGGACATGCCAGCCGGCTTCAGTGTCCACCTGACTCTTTGGCTGGACTCTCTGATGGAGCGGGGCGGCTTCCTGTTGTCCCATTTCCAGGCTTCCAGGCGTCCTCACTGCACATCAGTGTAGGCTACTCCCTCAGGTTTCCTGGGGTGGTTGTGCTGCAGTGATTTAAAAAAAAATTTTTTTTTTTTAAATTGATCGTTATTATGGTTATTTTTAAAATTTGACCAGAGAGAGAGGAGAAAGTGAGAAAGCAAGCTGCCAGGTCCGGGACTCGAACCACAGTCAGCCATGTGGGAGTCCAGTGCTGCAACCTCCACACCACCCTCCAGCCACTAGTGCCACAGCGATTTTAGTGTGAATAGATAAGATACATTTTTTCCCTAACCAGCTTTATGAATGGGTCCTTGACATACTATGAAATTCACCCATGTCTAGGGTAGTGAAGTTCAGCCCATTTCAGTCCGTAGAATTGCCACTGAGTTTTGGAATGTTTCCATCACCCCAGCAAACCCACTCCCTCAGTTTTCCTACCTCGGGTGTCCACTGGCCCTCTTTTCTTTTTTTTTCTTTTTTTGGAGAGGTTTTTGCTATAGGGCACGTGCGCTCGCCAGACAGACAGAGAAAGATGGAGAGACAGAAAGCGAGAAATCACCCCCCAGGGGGGATGGTCACGCCGCAATCCCTTCTCCTCCATTCTCCTCTTGGGATCTTGGGCACGCACGCACACGCACCCGGCATGAGTTTAAGCCACCAGGTCTGGGACTCGAACCGCGGTCAACTACATGTGAGTCCAGTGACATAGCCATTACGGCAACTGCTGATCCCCTGGTGCTTGCTTTAAAGCCGCTAGGTCCAGGACTCGAATCATGTGGTCAGCCATGTGAGATCCAGCCGCCTTAACCTCCATGCCATGGGCTTACCCCAGTGTCACCTTCATAGCATATACATGGCATTGTATTCATTTAAAACTCAGAGACAATGCATCGATCTTTTTTGGAGTGTGGAGGGTACTGTTCAAATACTTGTCAAGGAAAGGACCCTCCGGGCATGCTGGGTTTGACCTAGCCTGTTCGCCATGACCTTCATTCCAGTCCCTGTCCCACCCCCTCCCCAGGAGCCGCCAAGCCTACAGCAGTCCCCAAGGCCCCCGCAAGGGTTGGTGTCTCTGCTGAGGTCACCCAAATCGCAAGACAGGCAGTCACATTTCCTGCCACACAAGCCGGATGCGTGAGTGATTTCTGTCCTTTTTCTCCCTCACAGGGACTTCCTTCCCCGTGGTTCCGGAATCGTCACCCGCCGGCCTCTCATTCTGCAGCTCATCTTCTCCAAAACAGGTAGGCCGGGGCGGCCCACAGCGCGGGCAGGAAACACCCGGTGAATTTTGAGGGTTGGAGGACAAGGGTGGCGTCTCGGGGCCTGGGCTGCCGTCGGCGTTTGCATCCATGGGTTCCACGTGGGTCGGGAGGTAGAAAAACACCCTGAAAAGCCCCCACCCGTGACCCGGATACCAGGTGGTAGTTGCGGTCTGTTGTTGATGGCGCATTCGTGCTGAACC